GGCAGATCTATACAGTGGAGTACTATACAGCCATAAAAGTGGGATGGTTCTCTGCATGATGCCATGAAATAATATTCAATATTGATTGTTAAATGAAAAAAGCAAGGGGCAGCACTGTGAGTAGAACATGCTACTATCTGTGCAGAAAAGGAGGGAGGTGCATATAGATTGAAGATAGCAGATCGGTAGTGACCATTCTGTGAACTGAATGAGTGAGAATAAGGTAAGTGGTGGGGCTCACAGTTCATGCCGACCCATCCAATATCATGCTCCCACTACCACAGGCCAGGTCACATGGACAGGAGAGCTCAGGGCCACGCAGTGAAGCAGCTGAGGTGGCCAGCGCAGGACCTGGGGCGATGGGCTCTGACCAGGAGCTGCAGGAGGTCCTGGGCTCCCGGGTGTGGAGGGACCACCTCTTGTCCCCCTTCGTCCTGCACTCTCTCCTACCTGGTTTTCACCAAGTAGTGTTGCCTGAGACACACTGGCTTGTATTTTTCCGGGTCAGTTAAGCCTTAAGCTGGTTTCCTGGTCCAGGCCTTCCTGGGATTGTAGTAAATCTTCCTCCATTTCCTCCCTCTTACCTTCTTTCTAATTCTTAACCCTTGACCCATGCCCACTTGGTACCCTCATCTGGGTGGTGTCTGATTTACACAATGGTCCTTTTCTCTTTCTGTTCTTTGAGTATCTCTCTCCCGTGGGCCAGGAGGGAGGCTGGTGGCTCCTCTGCCCAGGACACTTCCGGAGGCTCTGGCTTTCTTCATGCCAGAATTATAACAGCTATTGCTTAGCTAGCACTTACTAAATCCTAGACACCACAATATGTCCTTTTCCTTCATTATCTCAATTGTTCATTCAAATATATGTATTAAATGTTTACTAAGTGACATAAGCATTTCTCTGGTCCCAGAGACACAGCAGCAAACAGGATAAAGTTTCCATCCCCATGGAGTTGGTAGAAGAGATGAATAACAAATATATAACATACTTCAGACAGTGGTAAGTGGTATGAAGAGATATAACGCGAGTTAAGGGCACACAGAGTGAACAGGGGTATGATTTTAAGGTGTTCAAGGAAGACCTCGTGTGAGGAGGGTCCTGAATGAAGTGAAAGAGTAAGCCCTGAGAACAGTGGTGGGAAAAGCATTTCAGGCAGAGGGAACAGCAAGTCTGAAGGCCTCAGGCAGGAATGCTGAGCAAGAGGAAGAGGGGAGGACATGAGTTCAGAAAAGCAGCCTGGCTCACATCAGGGGGTGTTACAGGCAGTGGTAAAGACTTTGGATATAGTCTACGGAACCACTGGAGGGAGTGGAGCTGATGAAGTTGACATGATTTTTCCTGTTCTACGGATAAAGGGGTTGAAACTGAGAGAGGTCAAGTATCTTGCCCAAGGTTATCCAGTAAGTAAGGGGCAGGTCCCAGGTTGTACAAACTGACTCCCACAGGACACTGTCAGGAGGCGGGGTCTCAGCCCTCTTCTAGGGACTCCAGTGCTGACATCCCAAAGGCTGGCTGCGGGAGAGGACAGGGATGTCCTTCAGTGGGCCCCTCCAACACTCGGGCACAGGCTAAAGGGGCCCCCAGTTTTACGCCATGGGCAGGTGTGGGCTGGCTGGGGGCTCCGAGAGAGGATCTCAGGCTCCCCGCGGTGGGCAGGGTGGCAGTGGCTGAGTGCTTTGCCAGCTGGACCCAAGGAAGTGCTGACACGGTGCAAATGTCCCGGCTCCACACCCCACCCACTGTCGATGAATCAACTGACTCACTCAACTGAAAAATTAACTCAAACCCACAGACATCCCTCAAACCCACAGAAGGTCACTGGGAGGTACACGCCTGGGGCTGAGGCTGCTGGGCACTGTCACCATTACCGCAGCCCCGGGGGCCGGTGAACACTTGTGCCGTCAAACCCAGAAAGCCCAGGACCTTCTCAGGGCCCCTGCTGTGCCTGCCTCCCCTTCTCTCCCCTCTGTCGGCAAACCTTCTCTCAGGCCTCATGGCTCGTGCCCTTCTGCTCTTCCTGGATTTATTTATCAGGTGTTAATGGAGCTGCCGGGATGTTCAAGGGCCAGAGGGGGACACAAAATGACCAATACAGGGACTTTGCCCTCAAGGAGCTTAGAGTCCAGAGGGCTGGGAGAGGGGAGTCAGATACTTAGAGAAATATAAGGCTGCATTGGAGATAGGGTGCAAACTTTGCAAAGGCAGGATTTTTGTCTGTTTCATTCACTGGGGCATCCTCAGTGCCTAGAATAGTGCCTGACACACAGTAGGTACTCAATAAGTATCTGTCCAATGAATGAATACATTAGTGAGTGAATGGGGCTATGGTTAGGCTGAACATGGAACTAACATGACTCTGGGTAGTGGCCCTCAACCTCGACTGCACATAGGAATTACCTGGAGACCCAATAACCGGGTCCCACCCCCAGAGGTTCAGGTTGGACTGGACTGGGGGGCACCTTGGGAACTGGGAGTGTTAAAAGCTCCCCAGGAGATTCTAATGGGTAGCCTGGGCAGAGCACGTCGCTCTAGGATTCACAATGGAACACTCTAAGAGTGTGGGAGGGGCTACTGCTTCAGAGACACCTGACAGCTCCCACCCCAGGTGCTGTGTGCTCGGTGAGTGGGGAGGAGAGTCTGTCCCCTTCCTCCAGCATCCTGCCTGCCAAGCCCATGTTGAACAGCCCCCTTCCACAGTTCTCCCCATTTCTGCTTCTTCCTGGGGACTCACCCCTTTCACAGCTGTCCCTTGCTGCTGTTCCCCTCCTGACCTTGCCCCACATTAAAGGATTGATCAGCCCATCAATTAATTGTGTCCTAATCCAATCTTGGCTTGGTTGGAGAGAGGGCAGTAAATCCAGCTGGGTAATCATGCCCTGATATTTGTGTAGGGATAATTACTATCTCTCAGGCCTCACTTGGTGGCAAGATGAGATGAAAACCCATAAAACACTACTCGAGGCTGTGGCTCATTGTTTCTTGGCTGCACAAGGCTGGCTGCCAGCCAGCCAGTCCCGCCTGCCCCTGCCCCTGGCACCAGCCCCAACCTCTTCCCCTCCCATTCATGCAACTGGCAGGGCTCAACATCAGGGGCAGTCTAGAGGCTGGATCCTGGCTTGGGCTCAACAACCAGCAGGGGCAACATTATGGGCCCAGGGGAAAGCCAGCGTGTGTGGGGTGGGGAGAGGAAGGCAAGGTGGTCCCGCAGTCAGGTATCACCTGCCTTCCGGAGGTTGGGAGAGTCAGGATGGTGAATACACAGGTGTGAACCATAGGGCATCATCCAGACCAACACAAGAGGCTGCTGCCATCTGGAGGAGTCCAGTGCATGTCCAACTTGGCCCCACAGGGACAGGAGGCCCTGCATCCTCCAGGAGGATGTGGACTCTGACTTCCATGCAGATGTTATGGCCCCACGGTAGCGGACTTCATTCTAGTGGGCCGAGCTCAGGCCTAGGGAATGTGAGAGTCAGGGGCTGAGACTTACCTCAACCTGTAGCCCCAAGAACACAGCCCCCCAACACATGAAACACTGAGTGCCCACCATGAGCCAGGCTCTCCACTAGGCCCCGCGGACACAGGGTTGAGTAAGGCCATACAGTGTCTTGTTTAAAAGGATAGATCTGGGGACCAGCCTGGTGGCGCATGTGGCTGGCTAAGTGCGCGCTCCGCTGCGGCGGCCCGGGGTTCGCCAGTTCAGGTCCCGGGTGCACACTGATGCACTGCTTGGCAAGCCAAATGCTGTGGCGGCATCCCATATAAAGTGGAGGAAGATGGGCACGGATGTTAGCCCAGGGCCAGTCTTCCT